CAGATTTAAACCGAGTGGGAGTATCCCCCCAAGAGGGACCTTAGAACCTTAGAACTGAAGAAGCTTCTCGGATGAGAGGTGAAATGTCTTCAAGCAACTTAAAGAAGTCCAGACGCTTTTCTTTGCAAGCTCCTTTGACTACGATGACCTGGATGACTGAGAACCTTCACAGACATAGTAACTGGATAATTGTGTGTATAAGAAAACAGTGTTAAAAACAGCATTTAGGTAATAAAAGTGGTGCTAAGGAGTTAACGCATGTATGTGTGCAATAAGAGCACATTTATACTTTTGTGACTTATATGTTTCTTGTTAATGAAATTAATGAAAGGTCATTTTATGTGTGCTTGTGTGTTGCACACAGTGCCTTTGACACCCTGGCCAAAGTTTTCAACCCACCTGAAGTTGGGGTCGAAGACAATCTGGCTGATAAGTCACAATGTGTCAGTGGAACAACGATCCAGCTGATTGGTCGAGACCAGGAGACCCCTATTATAGAGGTGGAAGGACCACTGCTCACAGACAGTCATGTCAGCTTTAAGGTGAGTAGAGTTCACATGTAATGGGAAGAACAATATGCACAATTTTTGGAGATGATTGACTGCTGAGGGATACCGATTGGCATCCACAGAAGGGTGGGTGGTACTCAGAGGTTATTCACCAGAATACAAGACCATTCATCTGTCTATGCAGTTTTAAATTACCAAAGTATGGATGCGTGGTCAATAATAAACAGCAAAACCCTGTTAAGTGGTTTGTTATCACCTGCAGTTGAAACACTTATTTTAAGTTTCTTTTTAGTTGGTGTTTATTTGATTTTTGTGCTTGCAAAGATACTGGCAGGAAACACGAGGAACAGTGAAAAATATGACATGTAACAAGCAGATCCCCTGCTGGACATTTTGTGCAATGTGCATTAACTTGAGCGACTCATTTAACACTTGCTTTGTGTTTCCTTTGTGTTACCATTCTCCTGTCAGCAGTAAGGTTTTTGTACTTGATGTCCTTTTCAGCTGTGTTGTGTTTGTATCTTTCCTCTAGCTGACCATGCCCAGCCCCATGCCCGAGTATCTGAATGTACACTACATCTGTGAATCTGCATCTAGACTTCTCTTCCTCTCCATGCACTGGGCACGCTCAATCCCAGCCTTCTCGGCTCTCGGGTGAGAGAGTTTTCACACAAGCTGTTGTCTTTGCAAACACTACCAGATGATTGTTAATCAATATTTTCCCTCTCTTCTCAGTCAGGAGGCAAACACAAGTTTGGTGCGAGCCTGTTGGAACGAGCTGTTCACTCTGGGTCTTGCTCAGTGCGCTCATGTGATGAACCTGTCGACCATCCTTGCCGCCATCATCAACCACCTTCAAAGCAGCATCCAGGATGGTATGGACCACAGACCTCGCCATCTTTCACAGTAGGACACACACGCATATAAACAGGAGTAAAGAAATGTGATTTTTCTTTTTTTTTCCTTTCTTTTTTGTTATTAACAAACATAGGCCTTAAGCATAGAAGACAACTTTATTACTTACATGTGATGAAATCAGAACAGGCTCATATTGTTGCTGTTTTTATTTAGATTGTAACAAAACTTTGAAATGTAATTGCATAAATAAAAATCCCCCCTGCTAGGACCATTTTGGCTTAATGAAGCCAACTACATTGCAAACAAGTGACGACACTTGCCACTAACACCGACTAAGAATTGTGTCGTTTTTCAGTGACGACATGCTTTTTGTTGTTTCTCTAAGTAACTTTTCTCGGACCATTAAGATGGAAAAGGAATTAAAGAAAATAAGAGACTTAAACCATGAATATTTATACAAAATGGAAACTTTCTTCTGTCTCAGACAAACTGTCAGGGGAAAGGGTGAAACAGGTGATGGAGCATATCTGGAAGTTCCAGGAGTTCTGTAACAGCATGACAAGGCTGGAGACCGACAGCTATGAATACGCCTACCTGAAGGCTATAGTGTTGTTCAGCCCAGGTGAGTCTGATTTTCTGTGTCAGAAATAATAATGGACAGTCTAGCTGTTATCAGTCACATTATTTTGGAGAACAACTGTTGTGTGTTTGATTCATCAGATCACCCAGGTGTTGACAGCAGTGGGCAGATTGAGAAGTTCCAGGAGAAAGCTCTGATGGAGCTACAGGACTATGTGCAGAAAACATATCCAGATGACACCTACAGGTACATTCATACCTCCTGTCCTACTCTCATCCACGTTCAAAGCAAAGTGACAAAAAAACATCTCAGACTCTGCAGAAGGGAGCTGTATTAAGACTGTTAAACATCCAAGCTGACTGCATCTGACGTTTACATTCTTTTCTCTGCAGAGTAAAAACAGGTCATGTCTATAGGGTGCAGGTCTGCAGTGCATGTCTGAAAAAAAGCTTTTGGCTGATGTTGTCTGCTGTTCAGTTGTCATTTAATCTGACTGTTAACATTTTATTTGATGTCCAGTACTGGTAAATTTTTGTATCCCAAATTTGTATCCTAGTTACAACCATCAGCCACCAGATGGAGCATCATTGTACAAAAATGCCATATCAAAAGGATGAGATTGTGGATACAAGCAGCAGAAATTAGCTTTCTTTGAAAGGTGGCTGACCTCTCCTTAAAGAAAGGGTTGTTCTCAGCTAGTTGAGGTTGGTTGCTTCCTGGATGAGGTGTTCTGAGGATGTTCTAACAGGAGGACAGGAATATTCTCTTGGCATTACCCAGAAAGAGCTGGAGGAGGTAGCTGGGGAGAGAGTCTGGACTTCTCTGCCTCTCTTTCCCCAAGATTTTTATGATAGCTGTGTGAAGCACCACACCTTTAGACAGTGTTTACTATAATAATCAGAGTTTGAATCTAAATAAGTCGTACCCAGGCTGTATGATGCAGTGAATTTTGAGTGACAAGCCAATGGTTTGATTAGCAGCACATCATGGTGAGCAGAGGAATATGTGTTGTTGGTTTCATTCAGCTGTACAGGATACAAGTGCCTATATCGTGAATTGGTATGTGAGGAATGCTCTTACCATCTTATTGCAGATAACAAAATGAAAACAGCGATAGTAGTTGTGTTGGGGTGGGGTGGGCAAAAGAGGACCATCGGTGTACCACTATCCACCCTTCATAATGCACAATGTGGATTCCAAAGACAAAAAAGTCTGTAACACCCAGGGAGAAACGAGCACACACCCCAGGAGTTTATTTGTCATTTCCGGCTTGAAGAGATGTTTTTTAATTTGTTCTTTAACCCCTTAGCAGTCCTACAAATTTACAATTAGTCCCCTAAACCATCCAATGTACCGTGGGCGGTACGTCCGACTGCTAACAGGTTAATGATCATTATTAATGAACATGCAAGTGGATATGAACAGAACAGCTAAAACAGTATTAAGTTAATACATGCTGGCTCTTTACTGTTTTTACCTCAGAGCTGTACTTCTCTACTCTTCATTGTGCCTTTGCTACACACAGTGGAGTCTTTTACCAACAAATGAGGTTTGCTGGAAGGTGTTGGTTTGGCTCACCAGGCTGAGCTACTCCACACACACACACACACACACACACACACACACACACACACACACACACACACACACACACACACACACACAC